CGTGCGGAGAATGGCAAAGCTCACTGATGATGTCAAAGAAACGTTTGAGAATGTATCAAGTCGACTGTCAGATGCTAGAAATCATGACAACTACTACGGCAGACGACTTCTGATCAAATGCATTGTACATAGTCGTCGCGACAACAAGACCAAGTTGCGACAACAAGGTGAACCCACTTTTTAAAGACTGGTAGTAGAGATTTTTCACCGAGTCTGATACAGCCGTGCTCTTCCAAAAGGTATTCCCGTCCAAGGAGGTGGATGTTGATCAGTTATATGAGCTGTATTCACCCTATTTCGTTTAAGATGATGGAGGACTGGTATTCGAATATACTCACAATGATATGAGTAGTCGCAAAAGTGGTTCTCATCCAGAGTGGCAATGTGAAATTAAATAATAAAATCATATCTACTCATATGATTCAGCTATCCATCCTTAGTCAACTTAAACGAAATTGGGTGTCTCGAAAATCTGCTCGAGACAATCGACCTTTCCTCCCAAACGATGGTATTCTCTTGGCTGGACGGTGCGCGCCTCATTCGAAAACGCTTCATTTGCAGGTCACTTTGGGTTGTCTGATGCAAACCTGTTGGTTCTCCGCTTCTCTCCTCCTCCTCCCCACCCCGCCCCGCCCCGCCCTCGGACGCTCGGCCCATCAGCCGCCGGCACGACGCTTCGCGGAGTTCGCGCCTTCGTGCCCTCGACAACAGTGAGCAGCTCGAGCGTGGCATTTCAGGCGGCAGCGGCGCTTCAGGCCGCAGCAGCTCTTCAGGCGGCCGCGCTCCGCGGCGCCGGTGCCAACATGACGGGAGCCGCAGGTCTCGGGGTACCGACCGGTCTGTCCGGCCTGCCCGGTCTGTCCGGTCTGTCCGGTCTGACCGGTCTGACCGGTCTGACCGGTCTGTCCGGTCTGTCCGGCATGTCCGGTCTGTCGAGTTTGTCGAGTCTGCTGGGCGCCGGAGGCGCTGGGGCGCCGGGTTTCGGCGGCGGCGTCGTCAGCTCGCTGAATCCCGGCTTCGCCGGAGCCCATTTGACCTCGGCTGCCGCCGTGACCGCTGCCAACGGCCCGGCCGGTGTTGCCAGCTCCGGTGTTGCCAGCCCCGGTGTCGGCCCGGGGGGTGGCGGCGGCGGCGGCGGCGGCGGCTGCGGAGGTACCGGAAGCGCGACCAGCACCAGCGGCCTGTTGGCGTCGCTGGCGGCGGCGGGACACGTGAACGCGGCCAGTCTTTTGGCAGCTGCCGGTCTCACGGGAACTGGGCTGGCAACCGGTCAGTTTGCCGCGTCCGTGGGTCCGAGCACCGCCGGTTCCGCCGGACTCGGTCACTCGTCGTCGGGCGGGTCTGCGGCAGCCGCGGCTGCCGCGGCGGCTGTCAGCCAGTTCCAGGCACAACTGGCCCAACAGCAACTGATGACCGCCCCGACGCAGGTCAGTTCGTGGAAACACACTCACACGCCTCACCTTTTCGCCTCGTCGCCAGGTCACTCGTCCTCTTCAGAAGAGGACGATTTCGCGCTTGATAGCTCATCAAAGATGTCAGACCCTGAGTTTATGTACAGCTTTTTAGGCATGTTCCGATGAGTGTACTCGACTCGTTAACTACAATTTTGTTATGAGATGTATTCACCCTATTTTGTGTAAGGTGATGAAGGACTGGTAGTAGAATTTTCCCACAATCATAT